CCTTCCTTCCTTCCTTCCTTCCTTCCTTCCTTCCTTCCTTCCTTCCTTCCTTCTTTCTTTCCTTCTTTCTCTCTTTCTCTTTCTCTCTTTCTTTCTCTTTTTCTTTACACTTGCATTTACATCGAATTTAAGTCCACTTCACACTCCAACCTGCTTTTACATCTGCCTGATATGCTATCTTACAGACTTCTTTAAATAGCTTTTTCAACCATAAAACGAGGGTGAGACCACGAAGCATCACCGCAGAGGCGATATTGTATGGAATTAGACGTAAAATACATACAAACCGACGGAATTACATTGATCTCTACAGGAGGAGGGGGAAAAACAAAAACAAAAACAAAAACAACAACAACAAAAAAAAAACAGGGAAGGGAATATACGACCACTGACAGCGGTTTTCCCTTCTTTTCTCGGGGTTGATATCTCTGAGTGATGGAAATGCAATGGGTGGCAAAACCGAAGGGTTACGCTGCTCCTTTATTTAGGGACAACGCTCCGAGGAGTTTCCAGGCTCGGAGAGGAGAGCAGTCCCGTATCCCCAGGTTGCGGCTCCCGGCCCCACCGTTCAATGCGGCTCCGTACCCGGATCGTCCGGAGGGGCCGCCCGTTGCCGGGGAGGCTCGGGGGGGAACCACCCGCCCCCCGAGGAGATGCCAACCCAAATGGCACTTCCCGCCGGGGTGGCTGTGCTGATGGTTAGTTTCCACAAATGATAAGCCGGGAGATAAGATGAGGGTGTAACTCGCCTTTAATTGCCATTTAATTTGGTTTGCTTTTAAGTGTTTAAGCAGAGAAGGTGTCTTAATAATAAGCCGCAGGCAAATAGGCATGTGGCTTTCTCCCTCTCTCTCCTTCTCTCTCTCTTCTTCTCCTGGTTTTTTTTTTTTTTTTTTTTTTTTTTTTTTTTTTTTTTTTTTTAAGGTCCAGGTTTTGGGAGGGTTTATTGGTATCTGTTCATGCAGGCTAACAGGACCTGTCATTCAGCCCTCTTTTCTTTATACAAATGGACAAAGGCACACGACTGGAATTGAAATGCATTGTCTGAAATGGAAAAGTGCGATTATCCAGGCGTGCACAGGGGTCAGCAGCAAACACTTTCTACCTCTCCAACGCTATGCTAGCGAGCTCATCTCTGCAGAGTTGTGTGCTCCCCAACACACACCTTTCTTAATAGAGACGGGGAAAAAGGAGGATAGTGGGAAGGGAAGGAGAGGAAGGAAGGAAGGGAGGAAGGAAGGAAGGAAGGGAGGAAGGAAGGAAGGAAGGGAGGAAGGGAGGAAGGAAGGAAGGAAGGAAGGAAGGAAGGAAGGAAGGAAGGAAGGAAGGAAGGAAGGAAGGAAGGGAAGGTTTCTTTTAATTTGGCTTTCCTACTGTTACTGTTCTGATGTTGTTAATGAAATAACCATTTCCCCTCCGTTATTTATTTCAGAAAATTATAGGAACTTTTCCAAATTCAGATTCTGTTTGGACTTCTCAAGACCTTGGTGGATGAGAGAATCGAAGAGCAATAGGCAAACTCTGGAGAATGATGAACGCAATACCAGCAACCATACAAGACTCCAACAAGATGGCTTAGACCTGCACCAAAAAAAAGTTCAGTCACCTTGAGCACACACTCCTGACCGAGAGAGATTTGTCCCTTTCTTTCCAGAAGGAGGGCAAACCCCCTCCCACATAAAGATCTGCACCCTATAGCTCTGCAGATTCTTTCCAGTTATTTTCTCCTTTAGTACTGCCTAGTGTCTATTTTATTTATTTATTTATTTTAATGGGGGAGTGGAAGGCATTTCCTGGCTCTTGCCAAGCTCAGTGCACAAACGGGGACGCACAGAGGACACAACCGGTGCCACTCGAGCAGGGGAATTTCAGTGGGCAGCGCTGTCCCTGCAGGGATCCCCCATCACAACCTGGCGGCAGAGATGTCACCGTGTCATAGCGACGGGCACTTCGTCTGTCTACTAAATTTCATCCTTTTGGTTGGGAGGAGCCGGAGGGGATGGGGAAACTACAGGAGAGGCAGCGACACGATTTGCCCCTTATCTTGATTCCCTTATCTGAGGGAGTCGCTTCACGAGGCACTCATCACTCCGCACCTGAGCAGCGTCCCGGGGCTGCCCAGTCCTGGAAGCGAGGAATGGGGCACGGACAAGGACAAGGACAGGTGCCTGCCCGAGCTTTCAGCAGATCCCCAAGCTGCAAGGGATCCGTCCCACGAGAGATCACACAGAGCCCCTTCCCCCTCTCCACACGCACAGAGCAGACAGACAGACAAACTGACAGATCCCACCAGCCAGCTCGGAGCCCAACTTCTCTTCAAACAACAACAAAGCCCTCAAACTGGTTTTGTTTGGAGGAAAGTTTATAAGAAACCCGGCTTGCCAGATGCACGTTACTGGTCAGTTCCATCTGTTAGCTTCGCTTACAGACCCTAAAAAATCATATAGACCGTTTGTGCTTTAACTCCTCCCCAATCCAATTAATAACATGAGTCAAACTGCAAAGCACTTATTAATTGCTCTCAAAGAAATTCTTTCAAGAAAGTTAATTGGGATCTCTCTGGTTGTCCAACCAGTGCCATAAGCTCATGGTCGGAGCTGACAGACTTCGCGTTGAGTTTCATTGTGGCTGGGCGTGTTGTTTATCAAAGTTTGCTTCTGTTTCCAGTTTTCAGTAGCTTGTTTTTTTCTTTTCTCTTTTCTTTTCTTTTCTCTTTTCTTTTTTCTTTTCTTTTCTTTTCTTTTCTTTTCTTTTCTTTTCTTTTCTTTTCTTTTCTTT